GTGCTATAGTTCCCTTTCCCCACACCCACACTGAAAACAGATGGCAGGACTTATCTTCATAAACAGTATGTTAGTGGGGTAAAGTGGTGGGGGTGGGGAGGGGTGGGCAGAGGAGTGCTATCACACTTGTTTATTATACAAATGTAATCATTGTTCCCAACAGTGCCTTGCATGCCAACTTTTTACCATAAAATTGAACGCAAAACAAAAACCACAGGTAGAAAGCAGATGATAAGAAAGACCAAGTAGATATTTAGACAGAAGAGGATTGTTTTGTTTTGTGTTTGCTTTTGTTTTATATGAGGAAGAGATGGGGAACACTGGTGTTATTGCTTTAAAAATAATAATAATAATTGTGTGAAAAAACTTATCATGGCCTACACGTAGATAAGGATATCTACTAAAATAGGGAGATACTTGCAAAGGACATGAGCTTTAGAATTAGACAAACCTAGATTTAGACCTTGGTTCAAGCTCTTCAATTCCAACCACGTTACTCAACACTTCATTCTCAACAAGATACTACCTAGCTGATTCGGCTGTAATAAGCATTAAATTCAAAGAGGGAAAAAAATGTGTAAAATGATTATCTGAATGCTTTGGTACATAGCCAATATGTAATGACCAGTATTAGATTAGTTTAGGAGTACTAAGAATAAGGAAATGTAAATGCTGATTTGTTGGGTGTGTTTTTTAGGTTGTTTTTGTAACAAAGAATAATGGTCAATTATTCTGAGTTTTGAATGGAAGATGCCTATATTCATCAGTACTAACAATAGAAAAATTTAGAGGAAGGTGAGCAGAAAAGACATGAGGATCATTTTGTTATACGGAAGAGGCCTGATTTTGAACTTACAGAATTGTGTCTGAGAGTTATGCCTCCATTCACAGGCCTCATGACCTTGAGAAGGTCACTGAACCTCACCTTCCATATTTACAAGATGGGAATTAAATGTCATCTTGAAAATGCATATGTTATTGAATGTTAAATATATACTCTACATTTTACCATAAAAACATAAGTGTGCAAAAATGTTTTAAAAATTGTAAAACCCTTAATAAATGTAAAATGGTGCTGAGATAACTGTTAATAGTTAAAATTTATTCTTTACTGAAACTCATCATTAAAGTCAAAAAATTATTCTCTCAAAAGAAAATGGGATATTAAGTGATTTACCAAATTTGGATGAGAATAACAGTAGTTACTGGATTGTGAAGTCAGAATTTCTGAGAAGAATAAAGATTGATATTAGCAACATGTTTACAATATTTCTGGAGGCATTTCCAGGACATTTGCCCCATGAATGATCCTAATATTCTTTTTATAATGCTTTTGGCAATATTTTTTAACAGGATTAAATATTTGAGTCTCATCTGACATTTTATTTTGTCCCCATTAAATCAGTACACATAATGGGTAGCACCTCATTTAAATAAGTTAGGATTAAATCATTCATGCCTATTTCTTTAAAATGTCCAAATTATAGAATGAGAAATTAACAACATGAAAAAAGATCGTAGAAATCATATTAAAAGAGAATCTATCAAGACCATCATACTATGGTTCCTGGCTTTAGACAACAATGGTTTTATTAATCCTAATTTATTTCAATAGACAGGTTAAAATGTTACATCTAAATGTTTCATCTATCAGAGATTTTTTAAAAATTAGCATTCTACCTGTGTTAAATATGTGCCTTTGCAGGGTGTGCAGTAATGTCACTGGACAAAAGGAAACAAGAGAGCCCCTTTGCAGCACTCAGTGCTGTGCTGTTTGAAGGTCAATGGTCTTTTAAGCACGCAGAGAACCTTCATCATGTCATACTTCAGAACTATGTTTTCAGAAATGGGAAACAACAGGCAATGATTTAATGCTTTTGTTAAACCACTATAATTCTTTCAAAGCAGTAAGTATCACAACTATTTCTCTTTGTTAAAGAGAAAAATCAACTCCTTAAAGAAAAATGTCCTATTCTGCAAGTGGAAAGGAAATGAAGGATCTCCTATTATTATTTGTTTTGTTAGTACAAAATATTTGTATTGTCAAGCAAGCTGCTGTTGTCAGCTCTTTAATGGACAGAGCAGACAGGAAGCTGCCTCCACCCTAAGAGGCTTGGAGAGTGAGCAACTAAGTTAGACTGCAGGTGCCCAGGCCAATAAGTCAATTTTCTAGCACAGACTAGCATGTTGTGGAACTTGTTCTATTAGTATTTTTTCTCTGTTAAGAAGCAATGATTTCTCTGTATGGAAGCAGTGCTGCTATTTCTAGTATGAGGAAAAAATGGGAAGGAATTTGATAACAACTGACTGTTGTTAAAACAGCAAATTATCTTTTTTAAAAATAGATTATCTACACTTTCTACACTTTTAAAGGAATCTGAAGAAAGCACACAATTAATAAAAGCTGGCTCTGAATTACCCATGCAAATGCATATTAATATCCAGTAAATAACTGATTATGTGCACTATATCTTTTCTTTCCCAGAAATAGAACTAAGAGGTACTCTTTAAAATCAGCCATATAAAAATCTCACTAAAATATTCTGCATTTGGAGATCTTCAGAATCTTACTTCCTTTTTGCTGTTAAAAAGTCACAGTAGCCAAGAGAAGTAATGCATTTTCTTATAAATTTAAAAAAAAAAGCCATGTGTTTAAGGGTGGTGTAGGGGTACAGAGATTAAGAAGTTGGCAAGAAAAGGTTTAGGGCCTGTTGCAAAACCAACTGCAAGCCAAGTATGATTCCAGATAGATAAGAACCACCTGTTACCAGACAGAGAATGGCAGATTTAAAAGATGAAATGAGAAGGAAGTGAACTTAAAGATCATTTTTCCAATTATCATATAAGTAACTAAGGAAATGTGCAGATATTCATATGAGTCATATGTGAATACAATATTTGCCACATGCTATTCAATATAAGAAGACATCATGTATTTCTAGTCAGTCCAGAAAGACTCCTCAAAGTAGATGGTTTATGACTGGTAATAGGAATAACTACCTGGACACTCACCTAGTGTCTAATTTAATCCTCACAACAACACTGTTGCTTCAGAGGGTGTGTAGCAGATGAGAAAACTGATACACAGAGTTAGGGACCACGCTCAAGGTCACACATTTGGTAGGGTGGTAAAGGTTCACTTAGGTCTGTTGGACACCCCAAACCCATGCTTTTAACAATTCTGCTGTACTGTGCACTACATAAATGTATGTAATAGTTTTTGGAAAAACTTTACTTTTGGGACTTAAAAAATAAATTCAAGAAACTTCCCCAGCAGCTTTAAGTCCATTAGCAATCGCCGAGACTTTGAAGATACATTAGCGTACAGTTAGAAAAGACGGGGATTCATTTTCACAGAATGAAATGTTTAGGGAAAAATAAATGGTTTTTCTTAGCCTGTGCAAAATCAGAAATCCGAGTCAACTTTGTTTCAAAGTGGAATAAACAGTGTTTCATTAAAACACACTTTAAACACTCTTCTTAGTAACAGTGTGACACAGAGTTCCCTTCTTCAACTTTCAAAGAGGAAATATTCCGATTTCATAAAACTAGCGAAAGACTTTACCTGTAAAGATATTACAGACACAAAACAGTGGGATACACAAAATAACTTGTGTTGGTTTAAAGGGGCCTCAGTGCAGGGATCCAATAAAAGATGTGTGCAAAATATGTATTTAAAACTTGAATGTCAGTTACGCGACAGCTTAAAGATAGAAGGCAAATCTCAGAAGCTACTATTCGATATACTGATTCACATGGGCTTTGTTATTTATCTCATTTTTAAATAAAAAAAGTTATCATTATTAAGTAAAGGAGCATTATAAAAAGAAGTAAAACTACTCGGCAATAGAAAAGAAAAACTGTCAATGGACAGGCGTAGTTGCCGAGTCCGAGTTCGGAACATCAGGGAAAACCGAGCGTCCGTCCTTCGGAATTTTGTCCTTTTTGGGTCGATTTCCTCGTTACTTAACTATACGGGTGGGAAAAAAATTTACAATAGAGATTTTTACGGAAGAAAACCTACAGATTTAAGGTACAGGCTTACTTCTTACGACCGAATCTAGCGAGAAGTAGTCACTGAGAAATTTCTCTTGGATCTGTGAGAATCCCTCTCCTTCCCAGCCCACGTGGCAAAGTAAACAGAAGGTGGGCTGGGCCGGGGAGTAGCGGGACTCGGTCAGTTTCCTAATTTGTCAGAATCTTTGCAAGCACAGGCCCCTGGTGCACTAAGGGCATGCCCTCGGCGAACCTGGGGAGCGCTTCTGCTCTGCAAGATTGAAGTGACCGCGTCTAGAGGATGCTAAAACCGGAGAAGAGGCAGTGGACCGAGAGGCTCCCAGGGGGTGGAGGTGCGGGCCTTTGCGGGCTGCGGTGGGCGCACGCGGGGTGTGTGCTGGGATGGCTGAAAGGAGGTGGGCGAAAGGGATAGTGTGAGGGTGCGGGGCGGAGGTGGGCGCGCGCTGGGGAGAGGGGAGTCCGGACATCACGAAAGAGGTGGCGGAGTGAGGTACCACCAAAAAGTTTAAAAGGTTAACTGGGGTCCCGCATCCTTGTGCCAGGCACCCACGACACCTCCCCCCTGCGCGCCTTCCCCGCGCCCTCGCCCGGGGTGGAGATGCGTCCGAGGGTCCCTGGGCGCCCTGGGTCTGGCCGCGGCGCCCGGGGGCTGGATCCTCCCCCGCGCCCGCCCTCGCCCCGCGCTCCGGCGGACGCGCCGCGCCCCCACCCCCCTCGCTCCGCTCTCGGCTCTGCGCCAGGGCAGCCGGGCCAGGACCGCGCGCCCCAGTGTCCGGCCCCCGAGTGCCCGGGCCTCGGTGCAGGACGCCCCGGCTGGGGGGTGACTCCCTGGGAGCGGGGGCAGAGGGCTCCAGGGCGGCGACAGAGGCCCGGCGGAGGAGGCGGAATCTGGACGGAGAAGGCGGAGGAGGAGGAGGAGGAGGAGGAGGAGGAGGAGGAGGAGGAGGAGGAGGAGGAGGAGGCCGGGCGGCGGCGTTGGAGAGGCAGCGGAGGAGGAGGAGGAGGAGGAAAGCTCGGGCGACAGCCGCCTCCGCGAGCGCCGTGCGCCCAGGCCCGGCTGGCATGCGAGTCACGTCCGCCCCCTCGGCGCGGCCGCCCCGAGACGCCGGCCCCGCCGAGTGATGAGAACAGACGTCAAACTGCCTTATGAATATTGATGCGGAGGCTAGGCTGCTTTCGTAGAGAAGCAGAAGGAAGCAAGATGGCTGCCCTTTAGGATTTGTTAGAAAGGAGACACGACTGCAACTGCTGCATTGCTGCAAGGCTGCGGGACGAGAACGAGGTCAGAGCGCTTCTCTTTTCCCGCGAAACTCTCCCTTTCCTCTCCCCTTCGCTTTCTCTCGGGCTTCCAGGGACGGGGGAGCAAACCCTGCAGTGTCACCCACAAATACCAGGAGGGAAGAGGGAAGCTTCACAAATTACTGGAGCCTCTTCAACATGGCTGACAAATATAGTTTTAATCCCCCCCCCCCCCCCCTTTAAACCTATAGTTCTGTGTTCTCTTCCCTCTCCTGCTATTGCTCGTCTGCTCCGGACCCGGAAAAGTTACCTTTGTGACTCCGACCAGTCGGTTTCCCGGCCTTTTATCCTCAGGAAAGTGATTTTTCTTTGCTTTCCTTTCTAAAATAGTTAAGGTTTGGGGGGGTCTCGACGTCTCCCTCTAATTCTCCCACCCCCCCTTCCTTCGTGTAAGTCCAACGAGTCCCTGCTGTGCCCTCACCCACCCCGGAAAGAACACTGACGGGGATTTTCGACCCTTTTATCTGCTGTCGCTCTGGGTCTGGGTTTGCATTCGCCTCTTCTACCGCCGTGTCCCCTTTTTGGGGGGCGTAAGCGCGAATGTCACGGGGAGTGAGACTGGAGTACACTGAGGGGGGTTTGTTTTCTTCCCCTAAGTCCGCGCGTTTTGTGAGTGGCGCCGAGTGAGAAAGGAAAGAATAGTTTCTCGGGTTCCCCAAACAAGACCAGCACCCTCTTTCTCCAGGTACATCAGCTCTTAGACAGGCTGCGCCCTGCCGCCTGGGGAATGTGTGTAAGAGAATTTGTGGGCAAATCTCTGCCCTGGCTTTGTGCTTCTCCCGAATCCGCTCCGCTGGGCTCCCGGTAAGTGACAGGCAGACACAAAGGCAGGCGCAGGCCCGGGGAGGGGGCCGGCAGGAGGGGGAGCGTGGAGAGTTGGAAGACGGCAAGGTCAGGGGCGCCCAAAGAAATGAAACCCAATCCCAGCAAAGAAACAGAAGTGCAGAGGCAGATTTTTAACAGTCCCGTCCAAATTTCTTTTTCTCTCTTGGCTGCTCTCTTTTCTTGGTTCTTTTATCTCTCTGCCGTCCTCTGTCTCTTCTTTTCCTCCCCTTTCTCCTCCTCCTCCTCCACGCACACACACTCTCGAATCTTTATGAATCTTTTCTCTGCGGCTGCTTGTTTAGTGTTACGAAGCTAACAGAGTTTCTATGGAGAGTTTTTCTACCTATGGCAAAATAAAGCGTGGCCTGGATGGACTCCTGAGAAGGTCTACTATGAAATACGTTATTTGCTGGCTCCTGCCTTCATGACATACTTTTAGTTGCATTGAGTGATTTCCCCCCTGTTCATCTCGTGTTTAGAAACTGAAAGAAGGGTTATTTTCCCGTTATTTGCTTAAAATTTAGCGAAATATTTTTATATTTGCTTGTCTAGGAAGTTGGATACATACATGAATTTAAAATCTCAAATCTCGTATTACATATTGTACTTTTCCCTCTCCAGTCAGGGTTAATAATGGCAAGTCCAAAACCAAAAATAATCATCAACAAATGACCTATCGTAAGAGTAAGGTTGTATCTTAGGGGAAGTTGAGATGGGCAAGGAAAAGATACCGATTTTGTGTGGTTGAAGGCTGTGAACATTGTTGCCTCACAAATGAAATAATTTTATTTGCATTTTAATGGGAAGTTGAAATGCTGGAAGGGACTTATATTCTTTTACATGTTTACATGTGTGTTTCATAATAGGTTTGGAATAGAATATAAATTTCAACACAGTAGATATTGATTTTTTAGTGTTATTAAGCAGAGAGGTTTTAGTGAGTGATTGGTAAATCAAGTTAATAAGACATGTAGATGACCAAAAAAATGGACAGAAGAAAGAACACAGGAATAGACATCTCTCCATAAATATGATTTTTGAAACCATTTGTCCTCAGTAGGTCACTTTGTAACTCTTTCTATTTTGATCTCCCAGAGAGCCGTTAAGTTTACTTGAATCATTGATACTAGGGGTTATTTCGCATGAACAAGAGAGAAGTATTAGTCATCTCTGTGAAATAGAAACAGCTCATTTGGTTAGTTATTTCTCATAAAACCTTAAATTAAAAAAAAACAGGAATTTAGCATAAATGCTTACTATGTGCTGACAAAACTATGGGTAATTATTCCAGCAATTCAGAATTTAAAATAAACAATTTCTTTTGCTAGCAGAGTAGTATCTAAGTACTGCTTGGGGACTTTTCAAATGTGCTATATACTTGTCTTCAAGTTACTCAATAATAGATACAGTATCTTCTACTCACATTGATAAATAAGACTACCTATATTGGTTAATAATTTTGATTGTGACTATGAAAATTTGTTCTTTTCTAGTACCAAATTTAGACTCTGTTGTTATTTTATGCATCATATTTGCATACCGAAAATAGCTGCTAATTAATGTTTTATGAGAGCTTCAATGATTACAAAGAAATGTACATATTATTCACCAATCTGAATGAAAGCACCACTTTTTATTTTATTAGAAAAAAACAACTGACTTGAATCAATTTATAATAAAAAATAATATCAGCTCTTAATGTATCATATTTGTGAGGGTTAGCACAATCTGGATGATCCAAAAATTTCATGGAAGAACTGTCTGGGGTAATTGAATTTTAGGAGAGTGATCGCAGACAACCACAAGATAGCTTTTCTTAAACTACAGTATTGTTTCACTTATTTTCTTATTGAACTCATGGCTAATGAGGAATTAACTCAGAATAAGGGAAGTCCCTTGCTTTAATTCACACATTTTCCAAACTCTTCTCTTCTCAGTGCTTTCATTAGACCTGGCATGGTCCATGCCAGGAGCCAGAGAGACTGGTATGATCCTCATGTGGTGGCACATGGGTCTAGACATAGGCAGGTCCACATCAGTCCCAGAACAAGTGTAACGCACCTGCAGAGGACTTGTTGTGACAGACTTTTAGAGTCCTGTTTGGGCACTGGACTTGTATTAGGTAATAAAAACTGGAGTTAATCTTTTGGTTTCACTTGCTGAAGTTAGAATTTCTCTATCAGTTGCTCCAAGGCTCCACCCATACACAATGTGTTGTGAGCCAAATGTCACCATTGAAATGTATTTCCTTACTTGCTGACCTCATTAAAAAGCCCTTCTTATGATTCATTCACAGACACACCTAAGCAGAAACTCTGTTTTCCTTCCTGCCCCAAATCCAAACTGGTAAATTCTTATGAGTTCCTATGAAATTACCTTAAAGTAAAATATCTTCAAAAGCTATGGATATTTGACATTTTAGAATATCTAATACTTAGAAATATTAGTTCTGCTTTTTTGTGCTCTAATTGCTTCTACTGCATGTTCAACTGTTGCTGCTTAGTAGAATTTAATAGTCTTACCTAGCATCTCAAATTACTAGAGGGAGTTTTCTTTGTTTTATAAACAACAATATTGATGTTGTGCTGTCATTGTTTCCTATCGTGAGGACAGGTTAAAGCTCTGGACCAGAGGACAGGGTTGGTGCAGCAAAATAACATTTTCCTCAATTGTTACTCCACCATTGCACAGTGGCTCTTAAGAGTAGTAATGGCGCTGAAGCCAGCAGCAGAGAACTATCTCATAGGCCAACTTTACAATTGGAGCCCTAACTGTGGGAGACTCGGGTTGCCAAGTTAGCACCGGTGGTTATCTTGGAAACGGTGTTGAAGAACACAACCACAAATGATTTTGCCAAATATACAGTATTTGCTTGGACCTGATCTACAATTTCTATTTTGACTCACTGCAAAAGCTCAGTGAATCCTGTGACATTATTTTAGGAGGTCATCGAGGACATCTGTTGGTTTGGTATATGGTGGGAGAGAAGAGTTCCCTGTCGAGGAGGATGCAGTGAGCACTTGAAGCGCTGTCACTATAACTCAAAAATCATTTTACCTATCTATTTTGTTCAGGCATTATTCTGATCCTGCATTGGACATGGCAGACAAACACTGCCTTAAGATAATAGGTATACAATCTTTTCTAAATAAAATGAATTGTGGTTGCCCATTCCAAAGTAGAAAATTCTATCAGCTTTGATTTGTGCTTTCTCCACTTGTCATGAAATGCAGTTAAATGTGCCAGGCTTCAAGATTTAGAGATAGATAGTAGGTGTATTTTCAATATTTTGTTTAAAAATAAATTCAATGATAATGTCAACCTATCTGTGGTCTTAAGAATTTAGAACCCACTATTTTATACTTAGAAACGGTTGTTACTCAAACTGATTTGGAATCAAGCTCCAAGTAATACGAGTTAAATTAAAAGATGACTAAATTCGGATGAAGTGTTTTTGAAATACAGTTTACAGGGATGTCCAGTCTTTTGGCATCTCTTGGCCCCACTGGAAGAAGAATTGTTGTCTTGGGCCACGCATTAAATGCATCATGACACATCATCACACGCACACCAATTTCATCATGTTTTAAGTAAATGTACGATTTTGCTTTGGGCCACATTCACAGGCATCCGGGGCTGCGTGCGGCCCCGCAGACTGCAGGCTGGCCGCTCCTGGTGGGACATAAAATGGACTGGTTGCTTCACTGAAAATACTATAAATATTTCTTTTAAATTAGATTATGTCTACTAATAGAGTTTTAAATCTGATTTCTATGCCTTTTTATCCCCCAGTAGAACCTAGTGGTATTCTACTCAGTCAAGACTTAATGAATGGGGGGGGGGGGGGGGGGGGTGTGTGTAAATGTGGTCAAAGGGTACAAGCTTTCATTTGTGAGATGAATAAGTTCTGGCCTGTAATATATAGTGGTCACTATAGTTAACAATATGGTATTGTATTTAAAACTTGCTAAGAGAATAGATTTTAAATGTTCTCACCACACACTCACAAAAAAATTATAACTACGTGCAGTGATTTATTTACTAATTTTATTGGGGTAATCATTTCCCAAAATATATACATATATGAAATCATTACATTGTATACCTTAGATTTATACAAGATTTATTGTCAATTTCATTTCAATGGAAACTGGAAAA